TAATAATATACATATTTTTTTTATACAGTTTTATTTTTACATATAAACAAAATAACATAAATCAAATGAATAAATCAAATGAAAATAGATTATTTTTGAATTATTTAAAATTGAAATTTTAATTTTTATTTCATTAAATTTTTTATTTTCTTATTTTCTTACTTTTAAATGAAAACATGTTATAAATTCAATATTTTCGAAGAATAATTTAAACATTTAAAATCACAATTTTTATTTGAAAAAAAAGTTCGAGATCTTTCAAAAAATGAAAACCGAATACCTTACATTTTTTAAATATTAAAAAATCTCTCACGAATTAAAAATATTAAGGATGCAAGGAAGAATAGCGACTTTCAAAGTATCATTTATTTTGAAAATAAATTTTTTGATAATAATTAATCAGAATGCATCTTGATTAAAAAAATCCAGAAAAGAAGATTTCAAGCATCAATTGTACAAATTTCGAAACAATTATATAAATTTACTTCAAGAAGTTATATAAAATATAAATATGATAATAATCATATAAATATTATATGATATAATATGAATCAATAAAAAATCATTCACAAAAAGTGATACAAATTCAAGCTATAATTCGGATAGTTCTATTGATAAAATTATTAGATTTAAACTCTATACTATTTCTAAATTAAACATAGCTAATTTCCATACGAGAAGAATATATGAAATTACGTTATGCCTCTTACTATTGCTAGATTAGATACGATACGTTTGGTAGTCATATTACTATTGCCCCACTATTATTGCTAGATTAGGCAAAGGCACGTCACGTGACACGATACGATGTTTGTTGGCGTAGTGGGGATAATATGACGTCAAAATATCCCCACTATTATTGCTAGATTAGACACGTCACGTGACACGATATGACGCTTAGCTTGGCATAGTGAGGATAATGTAACATCACATTATCCCTACTACCATTGCTAGATTAGGCACTTAGGTGAGATGATGTTTCGTTACAGTGGGGATAATGTGATGTCATATATTCTCTCTCTGTGGAAATTTGATGGAAAAAAACTAAGCTATTAAATATAGTAATAGAATCTGATAGCTGTCAGAATTTATAATTGCATTGCAACAATAAAATTATAAAACCATCGTATATAGTAAAATTTCTTCCAAATTTCTAACAATAAATCTAACTTTTTATGATGAATCGCGGTTGCCTTCTGCAGCTACGTGACCAATAATTTCTTCTCCCTTATTAACATGTTTTTTCGAAATCCATGATTTATAATTTTATTGCTTGCAAATCCTTAGCTCGATCATCCAAGGATGATCTGATGAAAAGATAGAAACGGTTACCTTCCCTTTCCTCTTTTTTTAGAGCCAATCTTCAACTTCTTTCAACCATTCTAACTCGAATTTCAATGAATTCTACCAATCCACGAGTAACATTCCCTAATCTCTATGACTTTTCGTAGAAATCTTATCATTGAAAAGAAGTCAGTCGTTTAGCAATCTTTAATTACAAATGAAAATTCAAAGATCCGGAGTTAACTCTCGTACTCAGTGCCTGCGTGAATTTTAATATTTACACTCTAATCGAATTGTAAATCATTAATTCGAAGGGTGATTTAATAATTAAAATTTTATATGACATACTCTTATATATTACTATATGAATATTATATATAGTAATATAGTAAAGATATAATGTCATTGGCTATTAGGAAAACGATTGTAACTTAGATAAATAACATTTGAATGTTTTAGTAATATCTGTATATGTTTTAATACATAATATAAAAAGTTTTATATTATAAAAATTTTAGATCCACGGTTCAATTTCACAAAAGATTCAATTTCTCTCTAGCATCTTTTCAAATTTCGTGTCAACTAATCACCAAAGCCTTTTAAAATATTTCTTTAAATTTTGGATTTCAATTAAAATATAGGATTCAACATAGGATTTAATCACTAAGAAACAACAATGTAACTTCAATTAACATCTTTTTTCAATTTTCTTGTATCTTCATTCTAACAAAACATTCGAATATTTTTTATTTTCGGCATTAAAAGCACGAGAAATAAAATCAGAGCAATTTTTTATACATTATATTATAAGTTACATTAGTTAATTTGAGAATTAATGTTATAGAAAGTCAAATTAAATTTATCATCAAATTGCCTCTATTATTCTTTCAAATTTCGTATTAATAAGCCACTGTGATTTTTGATACAAATTTTGTATGAAATTAATTTTTAAAGTTACTTTTTTATTCTTCGTTACATTAAAAAAATTTTTTT